TATTTATATACATATATATATATATATATATATATATATATATTATTATTATTATTACATTACTTTACATTACTTCTTCTTCTGCACTGGAAGCTCCTGTCTGTGTGTAAACATACTTGGCAATAAAGCTCTTTCTGACATCTGATTTATGTAAAGTTACATTGCAAATAGTTGCAAATTTATTTTCATGTCTGTTTTGGGTATTAAATAAGGAGCTTTAACATAAACAATGTTGTTTTCCGTTGAACGCACAAATTATGCCATAAAGTAGCCAAGTTTAGGTTATATGGTAAAACAAAAATATCACTTCAAACCGATTATCGGTCTATATTCTGCGTACTGCTATTTTTTACTATGCATATATTACATTGCATATTGTGTATATTGTGATCAGATATCTGTCACTATACATCACTGCATTGTTTTTGGAACATGCACCCAAGAGTTTCATCCATCATCGCTCTATATGGTGACGTGACAATAAAATGATCTGATTTGATTTAGAAACTGAACTACATTATCCACACTCATCAGCACATACATGTGTAAAACACTGCAATAACATAATCTATGGAAAAGGGGTTGTCGAGTATTTATTTGATATAATTCCTGTCTATATGATATATATGCTTAGCCTGGCTTCTTGGGTAAGTTTTGTCAAAGTACGGTCTGGCTGACCTCAGAGGAATGAGCTCTCTCATTGCTTCGATGAACAGACAGTGCATTCACTGAGACTTGAGAGAAGATTTCCCTCCACTAATACCATCTCGTAGTTCACACAATGAGCCAATAGGAGTGCTTACATAGTACGGTCGCTCACATACTCACAGAAAAGTGGTTAGAGGGGACACAGTAGTCAATGTGGAGGGACATGGCCACTATTATTGCTTCTGGAAGCTTCTTGAAACCGCCCAACAACCTCCTGCTGTGTGTGGTCAGTGTTCACTGGGCAAATTAGTTAGACTGGCATAGATATTGCTGTGATGTTTTTCTCATGTTTTCATCAAAGAACAATGTCCACTGATGGTGCCGGCAATGGGTCGGCCAGCAGGATGAGGATTTGTTCAATGGTTAGCGGCGTTGTTGAAAACCATTGCTACAATATGCAATGGCACATGGAGAGTTAATCTCACCCTTGCAGAATGAAGAAATTAATTTAACCATTAAGCACTTTTCACTGTAAAAAATATTGTACAGATAACAAAATATAATGTATTAAAGTAAGAAAATGGGTTTAATTAATCATTATGTAATGCCACTTTACTAATAAGGTTATATATAAAGTTATAATGCTGAGTCAACCTCTTATTTGCAGTAAAAAAAAATTATATTTGCTGAGCAACAGTGGACAATGAATCTAATTAGTATGTACATAATGAAAATAACATTGCAGAACTCTTCTGCAAAGCCAAATGAAAGGCGAGTTTCTTCAAGGACTTCTCAGTTAAGCTGACTTTAGTGACGTTTAGTACCATGGTGTTCCTGTAGCTTAACTGGAACAGCGTAGTGTTAGCAAACGTCAAGGTCGTGGTTTCAAATCCCTTGTGAAAAATAGGTTCACTTACTTGTATTGAATGTGCACTTGTAGTGTACTTCAAATCTTTAAGGAACATAAAAAAAACATACTCGCAAGTAATATTAATGAAATAAAAGGCCACTTTCGATATTTTTTCTATTTTAAACTTGACTCTTCTGTAGTTTCATCGTGTACTAAGACCGACGGAAAATGAAAAGTTGCGAATGACATTACTCAGTGCCTGAAAATAGTCCCCATCACGCTCCCTGTGCAAGCAGGTGGTCACGTTGGTTATGTTGACGGAAGTTAGCCTATTTTCAAATAAGCCTATTTTCAAAAATAGTGGAGTGTTCCTTTAAGGATAAACACTTTGACTGTGGTTCTTCTCCACAACAGCTGTGAATGGAGAATAACAGTAAGCTGAGTTCAAACCACAAGATCGTGTTTACAAAATGAATGAATTAAACCCCCCAGTGTCGTGAGATGGCTAGATGTAAAGTAATACAGTGGGTTTTGTGCTGATGCCTCACTGCGTGTCTGAGAGAGTCTGATGCATGGGCTGACCTTCTCTCTCTCCTTGCTCTGCATTGGGCAGCACTTAGATTCGTTGTACCTCTGCCAACTTGCTCTTCTTTGGAGCCGTCTGCCTGCCTGTCTGTGTGAACCCACTGACCAGGAAAAAAGGCTCTCCAGACTCAAGAGGGACAATGTCTGACAGTGTTATCTGTCTGGCTCGACCTGTCAAGCCTGCTGACTCTGAGACGGTGGTCCTTGCTTCACTGAAAAAAATTTTTCATTCATCCAATTAAAAAAATTTAAGGTAATGGGCAAGTTATTTATTTTTCATTGGCTCAAGTTAAAAAATATAGATGTGAATCATTACCTTACATTTTTTTAATTGGATGAATGAAACATTTTTTTCAGTGTTCATTCAGGGACAATATCAAATGATCTGAAAGAGGATTTCGTGTTGGCCCTGAACCATTTGGATGGTTTAGACACAATAATATGTTGATTCATGTTGGTACCATGGTGTAGTGGGTGCTTGCAACAATTAAGCATCATAAGCTCAAGCAGAAGCAGGTTCGAGATTGTCTTGCATCATATCAAGATCCTACTTTTAATTGTTTACAAAATTCACTTTTTAAATGTTACATTTTTTATTTTTTATTCAGGAAAAACAGAATGAATAATGTTGATGACTCATCTTGTACTACACAGATTTTATCCAATTAAATGTTTTTTAAATGAGAATGCCCCGCCCCCTAATGACACCAACCTATAGCAAGAAGCAAATCATGGTTAATGGCTGTGATGTAACCTTTGTAACCCTTTGAAATGCCACACCCTAACTTCCTGTTTAAACAGGAAATACATTAACACAGGAAAGAAAACCATGTTGAACAAGTGATTCATGTGAATTATATATAAATCATTATAATTATATATTTTGTTATGAACTGTAAAGCATACAGGTTGCAAAATGTCATCACATGATGCCTGAAATGTCACAGGTGAGTCTCTCAGGTTGCAGTTGCTACAGTTTTACTTTTTAAAGGTACATATGGACATAAATAATAAAATTGTTTAAAAATTAAATGGGTTCTTCCTGTAATATCTATAAAATGTCTTTCCAGGCATCTACACACACACACACACACACAAACACACACACACACACACACACACACACACAACACAAAAGATCTTTCTGATTAAGTAACCCAATACAATCCACTTCCAAAGTGCATTGACATTTTTGGAAACGCGGTCCTTCATTTAGCATGCAAGACAAGGACTGCAATCATTCTGTCAGCTACCATTAATAATGACTGGACACAATGCTTCCTGCTGGAATTTCATAAACTGGATACTGTACGCCTCTAAGTGGGTGAGACAGAGAGAAAGAGAGTTTGTGTCCATGTGCTATAATATGTGAAAGCACATGTGTTTGTTCACCCTGTCAAGATGTGTTATCAAACCGACATCAGTGAAATGTTATGTTTTGCCATTGAGTGTTGCTATGCGGTATCAAGTTTTGCGTCTGTTTAAACATCCTCCTCTGATTGACATTCATGTTGGGTGAAAGTGGTGAAATCAAAGGTTTATGGGAAATCCATCACCATTATTTTATACATCAAGAACAATGTGATGGTGGGTCCCGCTGCTGGGAATGTCAGCTGTGTAAAACATTTGACTTGTGTTTTCCACACCCAGCTTCATGTTGATGTGTATGAAAAAGAAAATGAGAAAAACTCCCCTGATACTAACTGCAAAATAGGCCACAGGTCTGTTCTGACAGGAAAAATAGCGTTAAAATAAAATAAAATAAAAAAATAAATGTATCATAATTTAATATATCCTGATATTGAAACCTATTTAAATATTTTATTTAATATGATTATATTCATATAATTAATATTTCAAAGCATTTCATTTAACTTTAACAACATTTCTGTTTAATTTTGTAAGATAGAAACACCACTTAATGTCCAGTGAGAACTATTGCTGTAAAATATCTTCTAATTTTATGCTAATTAAGGCAGCAAGAAGGTACAAGCCATTATGACAAACCCATGCCAGCTTGTAAGGTGCAATGAAAGTACGCAATCATCAATGGACTGCAAGTATAAGCTTTCAGCATTGCCAAATTCTTGCCCTTTATCAGATGAGTAGATGCTCAGTGAACCTGTGAACAGGGAAGCCTCTGCTGTAAATGAAGATGAGGCAGGGTTGGGGATGTTCTCCCCTCTTGCTGGCACAGGAGATTGGGTGGGGTGCCTCTCTACCCGCTGCCTGGCACTGGGCATTTCCAGGAGTGCGTCTTTGCCAGGCCTTAATTACGGGGGAGTCATCCAGAACATATTGAAGCAATTACAGCTCCATATAAATCAATATGCTTCTGCTTAAAAAAGTGATCTGATCCCAGCACGCTCTGGATCCAGTCTCCCTCAGGTCCATTTTGATTTCTCTCCCCCTTTCTCAAGGCAAGAGCATTATTTCACAGTTCAGGAGTGATTTAGGTCACTTGCCCCAGCTCTGGTTGGGTCTGACATTCAGTCAGTTTCACTTTTTTTCATGTAACCATTAACCTGAGCCTTATTAAGGCATGTTGGGGGTTAGTGGGGGCTATAAATATGAGTCAAGTTTATTGGCAAACAAGAATTGGTCTTAATTTCTTAATTATTGCTTTTATAATTTACAACTTAACTTAAAAAAAAAAAAATGTTTTATTCTTATTTTGTTTTCACGTTGCCAGTGCATGTTGGACTTTTTTTTTTCCAGAATTATATATATGTATGTGTATGTGTGTGCTTCCAGTGCAGAAAAAAAGTATTGTAGTGATTCAGAGATGTCAGTGATTCAAACCTGCAGTGATTCAAATCCATTTACACTCATCATTAGCTCTTTACATCATTTGTTATATTTCGCCATCTTGTGTAAAAAGGTAGTACTGCATCTTTCTTGTTTCTTCTCATTATATGTAATATGTAGTAATCTGTAATAAAGTAAGAACGCAACAAAAGCTTGATTATATTACAAAAACAAAGAGGGAAAAGTGCAATGCCTTCTTTCTGCTACTACAGCAGTGGTTCGATACTAATAGTGTCTAAAGGAGGAGAGCTATAGGCTACTAAGGCAGGAAGAAGAACAAACGGAACGTCTTTAGAGAACCTTTTTTAATTTAAGTGAGAGAAGGTGTATTGTTTTACTTAGTGGACATTTTCATGTTTTGTGTACAATATGTGTTTGGAAGAAAGGCATGAATGAATTAATGATGTCTAAAGTAAGTAGGGCATGTTATGATGATGAATGTCTTTAAAGTGTGTTCAGAGGAGCAGGAGCGAGTGGAGCTCAAACCCTCGCATATATCATCACAATACACAGTCCCAGCACTCCTCTCCCTCATCTATGGGTGCTCTAGCCCTTCAGCACACATACTGTACACACTAATACACTTGCTTAGGAAAAAAATGTTACGAGCTGAAAACAAACCAGTAGAAGATGAGCAAACTTCACCCCAAAATAAAAATTCTGTCATCATTTACTCAATTTCCTCATGTTGTTCCAAGCCTGTATGAATTTCTTTCTTCTGGCGAACATAAAACAAGATATTTTGAAGAATGTGGTTTACCAAACTTTAAATTTCTGGTCCCCAGTATTTTCTTCCATATGAAAGTCAGTGGGGACCGGCAACTGTTTGCAATTGCAACTGCATCAACTTGAGGATATTGAGTAAATGATGACAGAATTTTCATTTTTGAAACTATTTGTTTAAACAAGTGTTCCACCCAATGACAGCAAATAAAAATTTATTATAATTTTTTTAATTAAATTATTATTAATATTATACATGACTGAAATATTATCAGGTATATTAAGCAGAAGAATTAATGAATGAAGCAAGCAAGCATGATACACTTTTTTTTTCTTTTTTCTCTGATATCACATCACAAAATACTCAGTACACCATTAAAATACTTTGGCAATTAACAATACTTAACAGTATAACACATTTCTAAATCTATATTATTTAATTTATTTGTGCTTTTGTAACTGTTAAGATCTTATTCCTTGCAACAAAGGTCTACAATAAATGACGGATCAGTTCAATCATACAAACATCTTTAAACAAATATACGGTGGATTTTAAGGTTCCCTTTGGGTGCAAAAAGGATCTCCATCAAATATAACTCGGAGTTTGTGCGCTTGGAATGGAATCATTTAAAAAAAAATCATCTGTTACTAACTACTATTATCAGCTAAAATTAAACATTACAACATTAAAATTTTTTTAGATGTTAAACATGTTAACATGTTCTTTCAAAATGTTAAATATGTTATAACAATTAAATCAAAAAATACAAACGTTTTTAAAAAATAAATTTCTACCACAATAACATACTATCTTAAATATCTATAAATGTCTTCCATAAGTTTAAAGAGCTTGTGCAATGATACAGTAATTGCATATTACTAACAGCATCAATAGTGAAGTACATTTATAGTTCCACTGAATGTTGAATCTAACTATACAGTGTGGAAATATCTCATATACCTCATATAACAGCAATTTTAGCTAGTTTTAACAAAGCAGTTGGTCACCAACTGTGATTTGCTGGTTTCTGATGATTAGAATAAACTGTGACTATGAGGAGGCATCTCAGTGGATTAATATGCTAAAGAGCAACATATTATTGCTAGACTAGGTTTTAGTTAGCTGGTAAACTTTGTACAAAACAAAACATACATGAACGTGGCAAGTAATTATTCCATATACCCACAAATAAAGCTTTTTTTTGTACGATGTGCATGTTTTAAATGTCTTGAAGAGTTTGTGTACGTTGACATCGGTGAGGTTCTTTTATACGATGTAAGACCAGTCACTGGGGGTCCGTCCATACTGCAAAAGAGCAAAAAGATGAAAAACAAAATGACACAATATGATTTTGTTCTGATTGTTCTATTTGTCCAATGTGTGTTGGGATGGAAAGGTGGAGGTTAAATGGTTTTTGTTCTTGTTGAGAAGTTCTACAACAAATAATAAAAATTGAAAGACCAAAAATATCCTAATTCTTCCATTTCACCAGATGAGGGCGCAACAACCCAATGTTTAGGCCCCATTTTGGTTCCCTTCACCACATAAATGAACAAAAATCTCTCTAATCTCACTTAAACAAGTGTTCCACCATGACAGCAAATAAAATAAATATGCAAATAATTATTTAATGAAATGTTATATATTTTATGAAATAATATTATATAAATTAAATATTAAAAGGTAGATTAAGCAGAACGAATGAATGAATAAACTGCAAACTACAGGAAAAAACTAAACAAACTTTCCCATGACAGTAAAATATATAAATTCCTGAAACCTATTTCAGACACAATTTCAAAACTAACATAGTTTGAATGTATTTGTTTGCCATTTAGTGAAACACTGAATGACACCCTGTCTATTTTGCTTTATTTCTAATTTGCCAATTACATTTTTCTAAGTGCATTTAAATGCACATTCAATGACACCACTGTAAGCTAAGTTAAAGAAAGCATTATCAACCAGCTCAAGACATAATCAGAAAAGAGTTTTGCTTAAATTGTTTTAACAGCATCATGAAATATTAATTACATTCTAAACACTTACATATAACACTAACATACATTATATAGGGCTATAAAATATGTCATGCAGTGTGTTGTAAGTGTGTGTAGTGTCTTACCTGAATATCTGTGAGCTCCTTTAGCAGTCTGGAGGCAAGTGGAGGAAAGCTTCCTTCACATGGAATATGCAGATTCTATATGGCAGGTAATTAGTTTAAGAAAAACATGTTGAAAATTTGTTAAGCTCCAGAAATTGGCCAAGATGTTGACCCAGAGGTAGATATCTGTTGATTCGCCAGTATGTTTTGATACTGAATCAGTGTGCGGTGCTCTAGCCATCCAAAATAAACTAAACTCACCTCTCCCTGATACAAGATCCTGCCAACTGGACTAACAACACAAGCAGTTCCAGAACCAAACATCTCCCTCACTCGGTTTTCCTCCAGAGCCTGCCGCAGGTCAGCCATGGTCAAATAGCGCTCGGATACTTTGAACTCACCCTGTTAGATAAAATGAAGCTTTGAACCAAACACTCACACAAAAAATGTCACTGGGGCAGTGCCCTTAAAAGGGACAACGTTCTAACTATTTACCCCTAAGGTTCAAAGTAGTACCTTAAAGGGACAGTCCACCCAAAAATGAAAATTCTGTAGTAATTCACTCCAAACATGTATGACCCTCTTTCTTCAGTGGAACACAAAAGAAGATAATTTGAAGAATGTTGGTATCTAAACAGTGTCAGTTCCAATTTGACTTGAATTGTATGGACAAAAAATACAATGGAAGTCAATGGGACCTGAAGATGTTATGAACATTCTTCAAAATATCTTCTATTGTGTTCCACAAAAGAAAGAGAGTCATACAGGTTTGGAGCAACATGAGGGTGAAATTGACAAGCTGTTGTACCCCTAAAGATAAATTTTTGCACTTTTTTCCTGACAGTAAGGTTTTGACTGGTTTTACCCATTTGCGAGCAAGTTCTAAGATGCTTTGCCGTGTAACGCCCGGCAGAATAATGCCATCTAGAGGTGGTGTTGCAAGCTCCTCCTCTGGAAAGAAAAAAAACATAGGTTTTTCATCTTAAACTTTTTTTCAAATATTATGTCTGTAATAATGAAATTAGAAAGTTGCTGTGAACTGTCATTTTCTTTTAGACCGCTAGAGGTCTTTAGTAGAGGAGCTTATGTCCACCATGGAACAAAAAAAAAATAATAAAATAATAAAAAGGTAACTGACTTTTTATTTCACAATTGTGACTTTTTTCTTGCAATTAAGAATTGTGAGATATACACTTGGAATTACGAGATATAAACTCAGAATTGCAATATAAATTTGTAATTGCAAGATAGAAACTTGCATTTCTGACTTCTGAGAAAAAAATTCAGACTTTTTAAAAGTTTTAACATGAGTTTTAACTCTCAGTTCTGAGTTGATATCTTACAATTCACAGAACTGTGAGATAAGAAATGTCACAATTACCTTTTTTTATTCTTTGGCAGAAATAAGCTTCCACGAGAATCTAAATCATTGATTGTGGCATTTTGAAGGTCCAGCTAATTTACTTTGACCTCCATATACTTTGACTTCCACATACTCTGTATTTTCGGTTAAAGTAAATATACATAACCAAAATACTTTGTCTATCAAAACAGAGAGTGAAAAAGTAATGTTTTACAAATGTAAACAGCCATCACCTTCTTTTTCATTGATCCAGTAGAGGAAAAGGTTCATGGTGCCGACCTCTGTGATCTGTTGGTCGTCCCCGTACAGCCACAGAACCTGCTGACAGCCGTAATCCACTGCCTTATACTGAGCATAGATAGATGCGCCATAGTTCCTAAAAAATGGAGGTTTCACGTTCACAAACAAAGCTCTGTCTTAGCCCTGAAAAACCCCATTTTCTAGTGGCGCTATCATTCCTTCAGAGGTTGATACATACAGCACTGCCTGCTTTGCTGAAACGCTCTGCACAGATTTAAAACATGGCTGTTAGCACGCACAAATCCGAAGTCTACTATGAAGCTTTCAGTATTAAACCAAGCTTGCACATATTTGGATCAAGACTAAGAATGCGCCAATAAGCTTGCAACAATGCTCCTCATTCAATTAGTGTTATGTAGTGTTTTTTTTTTGTAGATACTCAGGCACATTGAAATCTCTCTCATTCACTCACCCTCCCATCTTGCAGTCGCCTGTCCCTCCTCTCCAGGCTCTGATGTATTTGGAGTCAGCCCACAGAGACACTGGTTTAGCTCCCGTGCTGAAGAATGAGCCCACAGGACTGAGGATGACGAACAGTAATGCCTTGGAGGGCTTCTTGACACCAAGGGTGGGCTGCACACACAGGCATATGTACAGAAAATATAGATTACAGGTTGGTTACATAGGTTACATGTCTTCATTTATATGCACAGATATGCTTTTGTGAATTGCAAGATATAAAAAGCTAAAAATAGTCAAAATGAGATTATGAGGGCTTTGTGTAGCTCTAACCTCTGTGCCCAGGAAGGTGGGACGGATGTACAAACTGGCAGAGTCTGAGTGAGGTACCCAATCCTGATCCACCTCCACCAACTTCCTGATGCACTCCAACAACTCTGCACCATCAAAACTCTACAGAAACAGACATGCAGTTTTGTGTCTGTAACTTGATTAAAACTGAATGTGGATGCAGTAGAGAGGGGAGAAACGTTAATCTTACAGGCAGACAGGCCCTGTGGGCGGACTTCAGCATCCGCTTCATGTTTATCATGGGTCTGAAGAGACGCACTTTGCTATCTGGCCCCCGGTACGCCTTCATACCCTCAAAAAGCTGCAGGCAGTACATATTTACATTTAAACATTTTAAAAATATGCTAATTATTAGCTGTAACAGTTGATGTCTAACCACACAGATGAAACTCCAGATGGCCAGGACAGACCTGTACAGAGTAATGCAGGGCAGAGCAGCCTGGATGTATGGACAGGTTCCCAAAAGGCTGGATGTGTGGCTTCTGCCAGCCTTCCTCAAGAATCCACTCAATGGTCAGCATGTGGTCAGTGAAGAGCGTCCCAAACACCAGGCCATTTGGGTCAGGTTTTGGCTTATGGGTCTGTGCTAACTGTATCACAGTGTCTGAGGCCTAGACAGAACGCAGCCAAAAATAAACAGCATCAGATGACATAATACACCAGCCAAGAGCTTTTTACAGACACAGAATAGGGTCAGTCTGTGAAATCCATCTCTCTATCACTCCATTTAGCTCTGTGGATCACTCTCCCTGACAGAAATGCACTCAAACTCTGAAACTCTGAGATTAGACACTGTCACAGATTACATGTTCCTTCAGAAACCCTCTGTAATCCCAGATTATGGTGGAAAGGTGAGCATCGCACTGCCTCAGCATTTATTAGCAAAGGTTTGTTTAACTGCAGCACAGGCAGATATATATATATATATACTTATATCTGCCTGTGCTGCGGTTAAAGTAAACATTTATTTAAATTTATATACTTTATTATAGCAATACAATTATATATACATACACATATATACAAAACATTTTTTATCAAATGTAATGACATCAGTCCATCTGTCTAATTCATGGATTGTCAATTAAAACAATATCAGCTCTGAGACACTGTTTATGGTGCTTTCTTTTTCAGGCGCTGACTCGTAAAGCAGCACGAATCTGAGGACTGTGCAGTCTGACACCTCAGTTTACGAGTTCTTTGTGAGTACTTGACTATAAATATGCTAGATCCAATTGAACAACCATCTGTAATCTCTGTTGAGTCTCGAGAGCAATCATGTTGGCAGATTTACAGTGATGGTCAACAGAAGTGGTATTATTGTTGTTGATGATGGTGTTTTCAGTTCTTTACTTAGTATGCTAATTAGTACTTTTACATAGTATAAAGAATGATCAGACACAGTGCTTTCTTGGAAAGCTATCATTTTGTTGAGGTTCCATTGTAATGAGAGGTGCTTTGTGGCCATCAAGTCATTGCCGTGTGTGACCTCATACAGTCCCTTCAAGAAGCTTAAATGTGATTATCCTCATCAATAGACAAACAATGCTTTGCACGCTGCCATGATGAACCCAAAAATAAACACCTATGCAAAAAGCCTTATTTTAGCACCAGCTCACGTTTGTGCCTTTTGATATGAGATTTCATGTATGAGGTTTTAGAAAGTATGTTGGATGTCCATTACCAGATTGAAGCTTTTTTTTTTTTTTTTTTGATATTTCATGTTCACTGATACTCAACTAATGCTAGTATGTGCTCTTAAAATGATTTAATTTAAGAGTATGTACAATAAGGAATGGTCCACCCAAAAATGCCAGTACAATCCAACATATGGAGCCCTGTCACAAATATGTTAGTTTGTTTCTGTTTATTGGACTTTTAGTTTGTTTTCATTAGTTTCATTGTTTCCTTTATTTTTTCCCCTGTTTTCCACATGTTCCTGTGGCTCAGTGGTAGAGCATTGCGTTAGCAGCGCAAAAGGTCGTGGGTTCAATTTCCAGGAAACATGCATACTGGTAAAAAAATGTATATCCTGAATGCACTGTAAGTTGCTTTGGATAAAAGAGTCTGCTAAATGCATAAATTATTATTAATTATTTCCCACTCATCTTTGGTTGTCATGGTTACTAGTGTCATTAATTTGTTCTGTTCAGCCGTGTACCATTAATTAACCTTGTTTGTCAGTGTATTTAAGTTAAACCTTTTCCTGTGTTAGTGGTCTGGTCTCGTCTTTGGAAGTTGCGTTGTTTCTGTACCTTATGTGGATTATTGTGTGGATCTTTATTAAACTCTGTGTGTTTTGGAATTTATCTTTGTCTTCTTCGGTCATTTCTGCAATGAGTGTGACAAGCCCCAAAGAGGACATGGTGATAGAAGAAAAAAATGTAAATTATTTTGTGTTCACTAGCAAAACATTAGCATTCTCTCACAAACTGCAAAACTGGTGATGGAAGTATAAAATTGAGGGGGGCTTTATATTTTTGTGAATGTACACAAAAATGGAGAATATTGAATTATAACATTAAACCATTGAAATATAATTATTCTCCATTTGCTAAATGTACTTGTCACTCTTTCCCATGCAATTACGCACAGGGAATGAGGGACTGGAGCAAGGATGCAAATATATAAGTATCATACATTTCAAATGTCAAATTTAAAATAGCAATGCCTGATTTGTGAATGAATCATTCTTTTTATTCGAATCATTTCAATGAATCAACTGATCAGAATTAAAAACTGTTTTATTTTTAGATCTTTCTCTCATCCATACACTATATAAATGCTCTAATTTTGTAAGCAGCCACCAACCTAAGGCATGATTGCAGATATTTGTCTATAATACTATGTTTACTTTATGGCAATGGTGTGATCTAGCCTGTGTTGAAAAGAACTCAGGCTTAATCACCACCTGAGTCAGAGAAAGGTAGAGAGAGACAGAGAGCATGCCCAAAGCTAAGCCAAGCTTGATTGACAGGGGTTACAGTGATCGGAGAGACTGGATTCTCTTTTCAGCACGGGATCTTGGAAGAGCTAGGACCTTTCTGGTAACTGCCAAAAAGAGAGGTCCAAGGTCACATTTTGGAGCCATGGAGGTCAAAATACGCTATGGAACAAGGAATCTACCATGAGTCTACTCAAAAGAAACTAAGACTCAACTAAGCTTGTATAGCCACTCAAAATGCTTTTTCATTATGCTATGAATTTTAGAAACAGTATGTGGACACTGAAACGACCATAAGACCATAAGAAAAGTGGATTTATCAGAGAAAGAATCAAGTTTTGACTGAGGAGAGTTTCTAATTGTCTGGTGTATCTATCAAACATCAGAATGATGCCATTGGACATTTCGCTAAAGGCAAGTGCTGTTTATTACACTATATATATATATATATATAGGGGTGTAACGGTACACAAATATGACAGTTCGGTATGTACCTCGGTTTTAACATCACGGTTCGGTATGATTTCGGTACAGCAGGGGGGAAACTTTTTTTTTTTTTTAAATGGTTTACTGAACAAGTTGCTCTTTCTTTAAATACATTCAGTTATAGTTTACATTTTCTTAGTGATAAAAATCTACCTCAGCTTATGCTTAAAACTATAGGGAGCCCTTTTACATTATAAGGTTACAATTAGGCCTAACAACTTAACCCAAACTTAAATTTAATTGCTATTTATTTTTAAATAGATGATCAACACTCAACTTAAAAAAATATATAAATAAATTTAAAAAATCAAAAAAATTGTATGCAAACATGTAAATTGCACAATGCAGTTTTTAAATTAACTTATAAATAATACCCTGAGAAGAAGGGAAAAAAAAAAAAACTGTATTCGTGCGGTACACATGCGTACCGAACCGAAAGACCCGTACCGAAACGGTTCGGTACGAATACGTGTACCGTTACACCCCTAATATATAGTAATCTGTAATATGTGTATATAATATGCCTTACCTTAAAGCTAGAGGCATTGCCAGCCATACCATTATTCTCAAGTTCCTAAAAGGGAACAAAAATACAACATATAATATGAGCATAAGCATATTTGAAACTGGAATATCCAATCAGATATGCAAACACATTTAATTTGATACATTTCCGAAGTACTTTGGCACTTTAAGTACCTTAAAATGTGAAGGAATGTTACTTAGAGTGCTGATGCTCTTCACTAATTTCTTATACTGCTCTCTTATAAAAGAATAAGCAATGTTGGTCTTACATTTCCATGCTCTTAACAATGTATTCCCTTACAAAATATCTAGAATATCACTTAAATAACTCTATTTAAACATTCAAGTAGCTAGTAGAAAAAAAAAAGTCCTGACTGTCAACAGAACACAACAACCTCCATCCTGAAACTGAGACCTTTGTATTTAGTTTGTCTGTTTATAGAGTGGTCACCAACCAAGTGTCTGCATTTTCTGCTACAGCAGCAGCTATAATTATAACATATTTCTTTAGGTCAAACACTGTGCTGTGGTGAACGATAAGATGTTTCCTCACAAGGACGAATGAGCATAGTTTTGTCTAAATAGAATTTACACGGAGTCAGACTCAAGTCAAGTCATGATGACCTGCGAAAAATAGACTTTGTACTTTGGAGGTCTAAATGGAGTAAAAAGTATAATTTTTGCCTTAGAAATGTAACTGAGCAAGAGTGCAAGTATTCAGTTTCAATAACACCCAAGAAAAGTGCAAATTATCCAACATAATACTTAAAAATAATAAGTATATGACAACCTTATAAATATAACCTTTTTACTTTGGAGGTCTACAGAATTGTACAGAATTGTAATTTTCAATTGCAATAGATCCCTGCTCCGGAAAAAAAAAATTCTTAAGTATAGCAAATAAGTATATTACACCCCTGATGAACTCACCCCCTTTACACATCATCATGTTCGGTCACAAAAATAACTTGAAGTGGCTTGAAACATGAAATGATATGCGAGTGAGTTTTTAGTGACCAATCAGCTGGGTTGAATTGCACCTCCATGCAGTGACCTTCATTACACTTGCAATGTTTACAGAAGATTTGTAACCTGTCGGCGAGTGAAAAATCGGGCTAATATCGTGCAGTGTGAACTCGGCATAATGGTCTGAACAGAAGGTGAAGGTTAAAAATAATAGCCAAAGAACAATTAGTAATAAATGCCTTTTTTATAGCTATATCAAGCACAGTAAAAATGTGGAAAAACCTTATCAGATTTCAATTTAATAAAGAATATTTATATATAAAACAATAATTAACAAAAATATAAATACAAAATATGAACATTAGCTTTTTGCTGACAGCATAAGGTAGTAATCCAGGTGCCTTTAACCTGGAAAGAATGTAAACATAAAATGTAACTGGAACTTTATTTTATAATTGAATAAAAAACAACAACAACCCTAACAGGGGACTTTGCCTACCTATTTCATTAGTCTAGTGACGTATCAATAACCTACATCATGACGCGCGTAAACACAACGTCAGTCTGACGAACGCATACATACATGACCTTTGAAGATAATATACACGTTATAAAACATATAACACAATATATTGTCTGAGTTGTTGTCCATTTCAATGCAATACAGAAAAATTAGTTACAAAAAAGTGAAAACCTATGTGCCACGACAGAGAGCGCGCACATGCCGACATACGCGGTTTTAAGACACAATATGACTTGGTTTAACTACATTTATCAAACACATGAAGGTTGAAAACATAGACGTGTTATATTTATGGTTGAAAAAAACGCTATGAATGCGATGCGCGCCTTTACCTCTTGAGATGATGGTGCGTTCGTGGCTGATGCAACGCTCGCCATGATGAAATGTGCGCCGTCTGTAAACCTCTTTCAGATTAACGTTACACCATATCAAAGCCAATGTGCTAAAACAAACAAAGCATGTTTGAGAGTGTACTATGACGGAAATGCACATTTTGTGCAATCATTAGAAATTCTTGATTATGTGAATGGAGAAAAAAAACCTTGGTACTTTAGAAATTATGGGATGGATATCATATTGGTACTTGGCATGGAACATCATATATTTAAAAATATAAGGCACATGCTAAGGTACAGCTAAAGCCCCCCTGATAAAAAGCCCTTTTTGTTTTCTTTTCTCCCAAGATACTAAATTGCAACTAACACCACCACAGCAATTTCCTATACATCGCTTTGTTATTATGCATAGCACTGGCAGAGAGGGGAATTGCAGAATGCCTGTTGAACTGCAATAAATAGGTTTCCATTGACCTGTATTTTTTAGATTTAAAATATATGCACGTGGTCAAAAAAGTTATTATTTAGTTCCTTATTTTTTGCTCTTTATATAGCATATTTTAAATGTGCGTATATATTATAGATATTTTAATAATATGCTCAATTTGAGGGAAAATATGAGGAATCAATGAATCATACAGTGGTGGATGAAGTACCTGAAATCCACACTTAAGTAAAAGTATAGATATCTTACCAGAAAATGACTTTGGTAGAAGGAATATTAGAATATTACTTGAGTAAAAGTTTTAAAGTAGGCTATGTGATATTTAATGTACGAAAGTATGAAAATATATATATATTTTTTTAAATATTAAAAATACTTTAGTATTGAAAGTAAAAGTACAAGTAAATGCAAAATGGAAAAGGAGCAAATATTAAAAAAATGTTACACAGTTTGAGCAGCAAGATTGTGTTCAGTTTGAACTCTTTCTTCCATTTTGTATATTTGGGTAAGCATAAGAGGCACTTCATCCGGTATTAGTCTCTTTCATTCCAACATAAGAAATCATTTCTGGAATCTGCATCTGAAGTGGCATTTATATGTATTTACACAGTTTAATGTAGCTCAGAGGGGACATGGATGCATTTAACCTGCAGTTACAAATGCCTAAATAATGCTTTGTTTTAAACATAAATCGTTGACTACTGATATTTGAAATGATTTAAAACATGAAAAAAAAATAGTTGAAATGTGAAATTAAAACCGCCAGTAGGTGGCAGCAAGTCCCTGTTAATGAGTGAATCATTGAGATTCAACCGATTCATTCAAACGGCTGATTCATTCAAGAACGAAGCTTTTGACTGTCCCTGCCTTCCATTCGGAAGGGCTCATCCCTATGCCCTAATCTCTTCAAAGGGTTTACCCTCCAGAGTGAGAACTTCAAAGGGTTGAAAGCACAAGAGCAAAGGTGTTTTTTAGCCCTGTGTCCCAATGTTCATACTATCCATTCTAAATAGTATGTGAGATTAAAATAAGTGCGTCCCAAAGCATAGTAAATTGAAAAGAGTATACCAGAAGTCCCTGGATGGTCTACTATTTCAGGTAGATTTTTGAAGTGTGTGGATCCGTGCACACACTAATGGCTAATATTACCCACAATCCATTGCACTTCGGCGAAGTATTCGGTTCAGAACTACAAACATGAATAAAAAGTTCAATGAAAAGTTTTTTCAAATAAAAAAAAAACAAAAAGTGTTAAAAACTACAGATGTGCGCGACAGACGGTTAAGTCGAGAGGTTTAGATAAAGGGGTTTGAGTTACTAATAATCAACATTTAACCTGGTGAAATATTTATTTGATGTTATCTGTGTTATATGTAATTGTAGAGGATGTTAACTGTGACAAGATGACTGACAGGTCAGTTTATGGTGACAGGGTGCGTGTAACTATGCGACAGAGTGGACCATTAAGCAATTGTATGATGTGAAAGTATGTCCCAAAGCTTGCCTCTACTCTTCTACTACACACTCAAAAGTGTGTACTGATTCTTCACCAAAAGAGTACATACTTTAAGGGCGTAGTATAAGTTGGCACATTGGGACCGATTGGGACGCAGCCAGACCACTGATTCGTCAAACCTGCTTTCTTGCAGTCACGTGCTTCGGGGAAATGTAAAAGTATACATTTTAATTGGGAAATGTAGTGGAGTAAAAGTGAAAGTTGACAGAAATAAAAAAAAACTCAAGTAAACTACAGATTCTTCCCCAAAAAACTTAAATACTGTAACGAAGTATTATTAGTTAGTTACATTACAGCACTGCAATCCAATTTCGCCCTCTGTCAGTTGCAGTTCCATCATTGGACGCACGGTGTCAGTGCGCCGCATGTTTTAATAAGGCCTTCGATCAGCTGTTTGGCGCTTCACACACGCTAGTATTTGTGAACCGACTGCGGCGTCAACATTTGAGCTAATTCAGGTTTGTTTGTTTTTCCCAACCTTGGCGTCTCAGTATTTGCTTGTCCCTTATAAATATTATCTAAAGATAACAGACACACCACATGAAACTGAAGGTGGCCCTTATTTTCATCTTGAAAGTGGCACAAACGTTTTACGTCTGTCAGTTTGTGTAAAGTTTATGTTTGATTCGCCATTAGTCGGATTTTGACAGGTTGGTATGTTTTTTGATAGTTTTGGTTGTGTATATATATATGAGATGAGACTTTGAGAATATTTTAAAATAAAGGTGTGAGTTTTTCAATTCTACTTATTTTTTTCACGTCATCCATATAATTAAGCAAATAATGCAGTGACCGTTTAAACATGTAATGGGCTTTTATATTGTATAGCATGTTATCTGTTTTCTATAATTTCATTAACAAGCACAATGCGATTGTGTAAAGCATATCAACTGTATCTAAACTATATATTAATTATACTATGCGATATAATGAAAATATATAATATATTATTATATTATATAATATATACATACACTGCCGTTCAAAAGTTTGGGATCAGTAAGATTTGTTATGTTTTTTTGTTTTACATTTTTCTATTTTAAATAAATGCTGTTCTTTTTAACTTTATTCATCAAATAATCCTGAAAAAAGTATCACAGTTTCCAAAAAAATATTAAGCAGCACAACTGTTTCCAACATTGATAATAAATAATCACATTATAATGATTTCTGAAGGATCATGTGACACTGAAGACTTGAGTAATGATGATGAAAAATCAGCTTTACATCACAGAAATAAATTATATTTTAAAGTAGAATAGATAAACATTATTTTAAATATTAATGATATTTTACAATATTACTGTTTTTCTGTATTTTTGGTCAAATAAATGCAGCATGATGAACAGAAGAGACTTCTTTCAAACTTTAAAAATCTTACTGATCCCAAACTTTTGAACAGCAGTGTATAACAGGTTTTTTTTTTTCTTCTTCAAGCTTTTTGAGATCATATGACAGACCTGCCAAAAACTATTCACTCTGTCTTAGACTTTAAACAAATTAACTCATATCTCTCCTGTAGATCGAGGCTTTCCCTCTTTGTTCGCTCCAACATGGATGTCGGAGTGACCCCGAGACGGCACAACCCAGTGGACAGCATCTGCCGCAAGCTGCAGACCATCCAGCGGCGAGATCAAGAGGTTAACTCGCTCTTTCAGATCCCAAAATTCCAGTCCAGCAGCTACGACAGCCCTCGCTCGGGTCTGCACGTCAACCTGGAGGCCATCCTGAAGAAGCGTACCGTCCGAACTGACGGAGGCTCTGACCGCAATTCCTCTGAGAGCATGTTCACCCCCACAGCTTCCCCGGGACCGGGGTCTGTCCCCAACACCCCTCGTGCTCCAATCACACCTGGCAATGCCACCTATACCACCACCAGCATGCTGGGCATGTTAGGGGAGAGGAGAAATACAACAACGTACAGTCGGCCGTTTCGGCGTAACTGCTCCACCCCAGCAGCCCAGACTGGGGACAATTACTTTAACTTTACCCCACGCTACTCCACACAAAACCTGCTGGAGGGGCCTGACACAGAGGTGAAGACCTCAAAGATCCCAGCTCCTGGCTTGTTTTCGTATAACCTGAACTTCTCCTCAGATATTTCTAACATGGACACTGAACTCGCCTACCCGGCTCTCGTGGTCAAGAGACTTTCACTGGGCGAGGGTAATGAATCACCTTTTTAGTTATCTTTTTTTAAAATTATAAATGTTTTGTTAATACTAGTGACTATGTTTTTGTTTTTCTTGTGTTTTGAACAGGATCTCTGTTTCCCTCCGAGCCCAAGAAGGAGAACATGGCTGAGGTCAGTCTGATTTGTGAGGAAGACCTGTTGGACACTATTTTTCAGGCCTGTGACACACAGTGCAGAGGTACATATGTCACTCCCTCTTTGCTTCTATGTTGTTTATTTTTCAGTCATATTGTGCATTTTAACAAATGTCTAACCCTACATGTAAACTTGCTTATCTTGGTTATCACTCTGTACCATTTGTGCTATAGATATGAATAAAAGTGTGGTTACATTTATTATTAGGTGAATTTCACAGCGAAATCGAGTCATTTCAACAGGAATTTGCGTGATCGTGAATTTCGAGGATGAGAGATTTTCCTGTGCAGATTTTGCACTGGGCTCAAGTTGGTCACACAAATATGAAGCAGAAAAAGCTGCTTGGTTTGTTAGTGACTTCTGTGTGAGCTGTGCTTTATACATCGCTACGCTATTGACAAAAAGACAGTGGAAAAATGTGATGTACACCTGCCGGATGGAAAAGATGGCCTCATGCACATCTAAGGACCAGAATATTGTAGAGACTTGGTGGAGATAATAGCTAAGCTTATTCTTGAAATGTTTTCTGGTGTTTCTCAGCAAATTTAATTTACATATTAAGTGAAATCAATAAAAACGTAAAATCATTTTTGAGTCAAATTTTTTAGATTTTTAAAAATTAAATTAAGGTTTACGAAGACAGGCCATTTTTTCTTTATAGAATAACACATTCTAATATAGCATTGTTAGTCACATTTACCTTTGTTCGGCAAATTTTTATGGGTAAAATCTGGTCATTTCAATTGGAATCCACACAATACGTGAGGACTAAGGATTTACTTATGCAGATTTTGCAACCGTTTCAAGTTGACCAACAGAAAGTTGACCAAAGTAGGTCATGCTGAGTTGACCAACAGAAAGCTTGGTTTGAAAGTGCCTTCAATGTGAGCTGTGTTTCATATATTGCTATACTATTGACAGTGGATCTTTTCAGCCCATGAAGTTTCATTAATGTGACATTTGTGCAATTTTGCAAAACAATTGGTTTTTGATACCTTGTAGATTTGAACTGCTCCTTTCCCCCTCAAATTCACAGGTGTTATTCCTCAGGAGGTTGGGAAGCGGACTAATATTACAATACTTGTGTTTTTGTTTGGTTTCACTAAAGTAACCTCTAAGAGCATCTGAACACATTGACTCATTCAGACCAGCAGCAGAGATGCTTCCCCGCATTCAAACCTAGAGGCTAACAGGAGACAAAAGCTGCTTTCATTTACAGCCATTCTTCTTATATAAAGGCAACGGCAATTTAGAAGAATGCAAAATGTTTTTTTTTTTCAAGCATGTTAAAAGAGATGAGAGCCCGCAGACTTTATTTATATATATATATATATATATATATATATACATACACTGCCTCGATATGCTCAGACACATGGTCATGGTGACTCGGAGCAAGTAGGTGTTACTTTGCAAACTTTCTGATAGAGTTTCTAGGTGGGATGGCATCTGACAAGACCCAGGTTCTCTGTGACTGTAGCCACTGTGACTGTAGCCACTGTAACCATAGTAACACAGAGCCTTCTGTTGCAGGTAAAGTTTATGTATCGCACATTGTGGACTTCTTGAGACACACCACTTGCCGCAGTTCAGAGGACAGCGGCCTAGAGGAGCTCTGCAATATGCTGGACCCAGAGCACAAGGACATCTCCATAGACCTGGACACGTACCATGCCATCATGAAGGAGTGGATCGATGATTGCCGCAACCAGGGGTATGAAGACATGAATATACAGTACATACCCCATGCTTTACAACAGTGATTGCCATTGATTTACTTTAATAAAGGCCTTTTTAGTTTGGGAAATATTGCACAGGACAAAAAAAAACTGAAGACATCTGCTGGTTGTTTAACTCCTGATCATTTTGCTAAAGGCTATGGTCAGTTAATAAGAAGCAGTTGTTTTTGCAATCAATTCTGTACTGTATGTCTTTTGTAGATGTTGCCAACAGACACATTGCAGATTTTCATCAGTCTGCTATTAATCCACAATCAGTTTTGATCACAAGGCCTTTCTTTCCAACACTTTCCTCATGACAAGTTTTTTTAGATAAAATCTCAAAGTCCATCTCAAATTTCCCCTTTTCCCTTAGGAAGGACTCAAAGAATGACACCCAACAGGAATCATTCAAACTACGGGACAGTTTATTGGGTGAGATCTTCTTTGGACTATGTCAGATTGCTCGAAAGCTCATTGTTTTTCATATGTTGCATATATTTTCTTTGTTGTTAATGTTGTTATAATTTTGTATCAATCCCCTCTTGTTTCCTTTAGCAAGAAGATCCGCTCTACTAAATATGACCTCAGGTAGTCTTGAAGCATTCGGAGGGGAAGCCTCCAGAGCTGACCTGTAAGTTCAGGAGTGTGAGTTGTTTGTTTGTGATAGATAAAGAGTTAACAGTAGTGCACATGTGGTTTATGAGACTGTATCAACTGTATCTATCTATCAAAACTTTGGACACAGTTGACTCAATTAGTTTCTTATGATCTTTAAAAACCGTTTGATCTAATGGTTTATGCTTGGATGCTTTTGAAAAATGAATAATTTGTGCCATTGTATGACTTTTTACACAACTAAAAATAAAACAAAATATAAAAATATTTACACAAAAAAGTTGCAATTAATATATTACTGCCAAATATATGTTATATGCAATATATATATGTTTGATCACTACATAATTCCCATTCCAGACATTTGAGATGCATTTTGATCAGTTATTTGTGTATGTGTCTGTACAGGGAGACATCAGATCTGGTCTTCTGTGTGGCAGATCTGCAGCTAAATAACCTAAAGCTGCAGGAGGAAGTTCGTAAACTGAAGCAGGCAGTGGAAAACATGGAAGACACCAACCAGAAACTCATCGAGGAAAATGAAGAGCTCAAAGCACAAGCTAAAATGTACAGACTTATCACTTTCTGTCTGACCTGTCGTCTTCCTTAACCTCTGAAGCCTTAAATCCCTTAATCATCATTAATTCTCTCGTGCATAACATGCCTTAAGACTCTCCTCTCGTCACTCCCTTCCCTCATCCTGCAGGGGGCAGCAGTTATTACAGAAGGAGAAGATGCTTAAAGAGGAAGTTGAGGAGATGAAGCTGAGCCTGACCTCTTCAGAAGAGGGTCGAGCTCAGGCCTCAGCTCAAAGAAAGCAGATGGTGAGGCACAAACTTCATTGATGGCTGTTCCGATGTTAATAAGCCATATTATGAGACTCCTAGGTCTCATAAACTAATGCAAACAGATAATGTGCAGTATGTCCGTAATGAGATGGATAGTAATATTATATAAACCAAGGATATGCAAACATCCAGAGTAAACAAATCTGGGTGCTGGATAAACACCATCACACTGGTGTTTATTGACCACATATTGACGTTGACACGTATATTATTAGAACAAATATGAACACTTTTATAACCTTTCGCTCTGGTTTCCTACAGGAACGGGAAAACCAGAGTCTTGTATCCAAAATTGCTGCACTACAAGAGGAGGTATGGCTCTACCCATTTTCAGATCCATCCACCTAAGTGTCAGACTTGTAGTTTACTGAATGGTTCTCATTCATTACTTTTTTCCATTTTCTTTATCCTCCTTCCTCCACATTTCTCCTTCATCATATATTAAGAACATGAAAGTCACACTGGAGGCAGAAGAGCTTCAGAAAAAGATCAGTGACCTCCGTGACCTTAATGCTGACCTTCAGGTAGGCCTTAATTTAATTTACCCACTCATGATTTGTCTTGAATGCAAAAAAAAATAATAATAATAATAATTTAGCCCTGTCATTGGTGAATGTTTTCTTGCACACTCAGGTCCAAGTTCATTCATTTGATGCCATTCTGGCTGACAAGGAGTCGATAATTCAGGAGGTAAGTGCATCTTGCATATCACCAAGACAATGATTTGATATGAAAACTTTAATGGACAAATAAAGACAAGTTGTTTATAAAACTTAACAGAAGAATTTAGCTTTAGTCATTAGTAAAATCATTCAGTGTTATCATTATTCATTTGGTATGTTTATACAATCTGCAATCATTTTAAATGATATTTGTCCACTATCATAACAGAACTGCCTTTCTTCTCCAGAAAAATAAACAGATAGATGAACTGAAGGTGGCCATTGTGGAGTATTCCTCAGTTACAGAGGTGACCTCCAATTCTCTTTTTCTCTCTCCGTCTCTAATATCAGTAATCTGTCATTAATACCACAGCGCTGTTTAATTCTACTTTTCTAAAACTGCTGGGCTATTAAAGGGGTCATATGATGTTGCTAAAAAGAACATGAGCGTGTGACGGAAATCTTACGCACCTTACCATACTGTGATACCGTGTCCCGGAGCGACGAGACAAAAACATTAAAACCCATTATAAACGAGGCATTTGTTGCATCCAGTGGGGACATAATTACGGATTATAATGATTTATATTGTCTTTTTACGCATTACGTTGCATTGCGCTGCGTAAACATAAAACCATGTCTGCATTTGTGATCGGAGAAATGACAAACAACAAGCGCTACTCTACACTGCTCAAAACTGCATTTGAATCATCAGTAAACAACTGGTTTAAATGCATCTAAGGTCAGAAAACACTGTAATTTCCCAGAATATACATTTGTACATAGTCATTTGTCCATGATTTCGAAACGGTTCGTTTGATTCAGTTCTGAGCGAAATGTCTGTAAACCCCTCCCTTCCATAAGCCTACTCTGCTCTGATTGGTCAGCTGGCCAAGCCTGTTGTGATTGGCACAAAGAGGAGCGCTTGAGGAAGTTAGCGAGCGCTACCATCTGTGTTGCCAAGTCTGCGGTTGTTTTTGATGTTGCGGGTTGTAGTGACCCCAATAACATCATATTTAGGCACTGGAATGTGAATTTACCAGGGGAACCCTGACTGGAAGCGTGTATTTTACACCCCAGAACGCGATTTTTAAAGGGGGACCACCCTCGAAACACGATTGGGCTAGTTTTGAGTAGCAATTGGGCGGGTTTTGTTGTGACAACCTGGCAACCCTAGCATGCACCTTTACATAAAACAATAATATAGTGCTCCAATCAGTTCTTAAAATAATGACATAAAAACATTTTGTTTAACACTTATGCAAGCGAATCGTGCCCACAGCTAAAGTTTAGCTGCTAAACTGTAAACACT